ATTGGAACAAAAAATTGATATTTCTCTTCCTCATAAGAAAACCTTATAACTTTGACCCTAAGATTAACCTAAGCTGGTGTGGTTTAGTGCATTGAGCACTGACCTGTGCATGGAAAGATTGCTGGTTCAATTCTAGTCAGGGCACGTGCCTGGGTTGAGGGCATGAGAGGCAGCCAGTTGATGTTTCTTGCACATTAATGTTTCCCTCTCCTTTCTCCTCTCAAGTAAGTAAAAAAAAAACTTTTTTAGAAGAAGGTTAACCATGAAGTGTCAGTTCAAATGTCAGATCTCCCAGGGCCGTTTAGTGGAACTTAACTGCTGTGATGGTGGACCGGTCCTACCTGTCCACTCTGCAGAGGGGTGACACTGGCCCACCATGGCTAGAGAGCACTTAAAATGGGACCAGTGCAGCCAAGGAACTGAAATTTTAAGTTTACATTAATGGATTTTAGAGAAACATCGATTTGTTGTTCCCACTTACTGTTTTCATCTTAAAGATTTTATTTTTAGAGGAGAAAGGAGGAAGAAAGAGGAAGAAACATCTATCTGCTGCCTCTTGCATATGCTCTGAGGACCAAACCCGCAACTCAGGCTTGTGCCCTGATCTGGAATTAAACTGGTGATCCTTTGTTGGGTGAGCTGTGCGCACTCAACTGAGCAATACTGATCAGGGCTGTACCACTTAATTATGCATTCACTGGTTGATTCTTGTATGTTCTGTGGCTGGGGGTGATTCATACCCACAACTTTGGGGTATTAGATCACATTAACTGAGCTACCTGGCCAGGGCGGGAACTAAATTTTTAGTTTCACTTTACATTTCCATAGTCTGATGGTGTTGGGGTTGTCATATTGGTTAGTGTGGGCTTGGGAAACTAAACTGTCCCTGTTTTCATGGAGGTCATGGTCCAATGAGGAAAGCCATGAATAACCACACTTAACCACTCAAGGTCTTGTGCCCAAATACATTGGTTATTTTTTTAAAAAACAACTGAGGTATTTGATAGATTTTTATTTTAATTTTAAAACACTTAATTTTAGACCAAGATCTAATTAGAATCTCTTAATCTCTCTTGGGTAAGCAACACCCCAAGTGCATTGTTAAGGCAGTCTTAAAACATTGATGGTGTCCCTGGGGGCGTCCTGAGTTGTCACAAACAGGAGACCCACCAGCGTTTTATAAGGCAGGAACGAGGCATGTTGGGTGCCCAGAAGGCATGGAACTACCCTCTTGACCCAAAAATTGTGCAGCCTCTCTGGACCCCAGGCATCCTTAAAAAATCCCACCACATCGTTGTTGGTGAGAAATTTGTGCCATTATCTCAACCATTGCTTAGCATTTTATAAAATACACTTATTTCTGAATAATTTCATACCTAAAGAAAAGTCGTGAAGGTGTTAGATAACCACTGTGCATTTGACAAACCTCAGAAACTGGTACATAACTATTAAATGACAGTTTATTTGGTTTTGCTACTATTCTGTTTCACAATCCAATCCAGGATACCACATTGCATTTCATTTTGCACATTTTTAGGATCTAATAATTTTGCTGAGGATGTGACTAAATTGAGAGAAGTTTGAACTGCATTTGGTTTAGAATTTTTAACCAATTCTAAATTAACTGATGGCAGTGCCACTTCCATGTGGTGTGCTAGCACAGCCCCTTCATACCAAAGTGTTTTTATAGCTATCCCATTCACAGTGATTCCATTTATAGGAGCTGACACCTGATTACTTTTTTTTTTTTTAAAGATTTTATTTTTATAAAGAAGGGAGTGAGAAAGAGGGAGAGAAACATCAATGTGTGGTTGCCTCTTGCCCACCCTCTACTCGCGTCCTAGCCTGCAATACAGGCATGTGCCCTGAGTGGGAATTGAACTAGGGATCCTTTGGCTCACAGGCCAGCACTCAATCCACTGAGCCACACTGGCTAAGGGGGCATTTGTTGGCTTTGTGTTATTTTGTGGTTGCTCTAGGCCAGCAGTTCTCAATTTTGGTGTCAGGACCACTGTGTACTCAAAACATTGAGGACCCCAGAGAGCATTTGTTTAAATGGGTATATCTACTGATATTTACCATACTTAGAGATTAAAATTGAGAAATTTAAAAACAGTTTCTCAGTCTTAAAAATAGTAATTGAAAAATGATAAACCTGTTACATGTTAACATTCTTAGGGGAGAAACTTTCTAAAGAAGTAGAGTAACATTGTTCTACATTTTTGCAAGTCTGAAGTCTGGCTTAGTAGAAGATAGCTGGTCTCATCTGCTTCTGTATTACATGTTTCAATATAATGTTTTGGTTGAATTATATAAGGAGAGAACCCACCCTCAGCTATCCAATACTTAGGAATGTCTCCATACTTTTTTTCAGATTATTGTGGATATTTTTTGATACAACACCAAAACAAGTGGTAGTATCTTAAAGATTAATTACAATGTAATACCTGAAACCACATTAATGAGCTTTTCATATTGTTAAATTAAAATCCACTGGTTTGTCTTGCACTGTGAATGGGTCTTTTTCCCATGCACAATTTTGTAACATGAAGTGTTGACTATTTAGAAACACCAGTTAACCAAGTTTGCAGCTGTTTGAGGTATCTGACACATTTCATTAAACACTATTGAAAAATCACATTTGTTAATAACAATTTCATCAGGGAAGTGTTGAAGTATTAGGAAATTCAACCAGGTTTTGAAGAAAACATTTTTAAAAATTTTTTTAGAGGGGAAGAGAGGGAGAAAGGAAGAGAAACATCAATGTGCGAGAGAACCATGGATCTGTCGTTGACTCTTGTCATGCGCCCAACTGGAGACCTGGCCTGCAACCCAGGCATGTGTTCTGACTGGGAATTGAACTAGGAACCTCTCAGTTCACAGGCTGGCACTCAATCCAGTGAGCCACACCTGCCAGGGCAGGTTTTGAAATTTTTAGTGTTTCCTTGAAAGCTCAAATTTTGCCATTGGCAAACAATACTGTCAATTGTTATCCTTGAAGTGACAGGCTCAATTTTCTGGGTTGTTTTTTTTTTTTTTTTTTTTAAGATTTTTATTTTTAGCTAGAAGGGAAGGGAGGGAGAAAGGGAGAGAAACATCAATGTGTAGTTGCCTCTTGTACACCCTCTACTGGGGACCTGGCCTGCAACCCAGGCATGTGTCATGACTGGAAATAGAACTGGTGATCCTTTGGCTCAGTCCACTGAGCCACACCAGCCAGGATTCTTTTAAAAAAAAAATTTTTTTTTTAAATCCTCACCCAAAAATATGTTTCATTGATTTTTTTTTCTTTTTTCTTTTTTCTTTTTTGAGAGAGAGGAAGGGAAATGAGAGAAACATGGATTGGTTCCTCCCATATGCACCCCAACTAAGGATGAAACTTGCCACCTACATATGTGCCCTGACTGGGAGTTGAACCCACAACCTTTTGGTGTACAAGACAATGCTCTAACCACCTGAGCCACCTAGCCTAGGCTCAGTTTATTCATTCTTAAGAAAATGCCTGCCAAATACACAAGTCTATGTTAACACATTTTGTCAGTTTTTTCAAGTAAAAATGATTTTCCAGCTCCTTAGTAAGTGTGGGCTGTGCATCAGTAACTTTCTTCCGAAGAAGGCAGTGGGGGGGGGGGGGAAGTATAGTGTAGAACTCTGACAAAGACTTCTAGAGCCAGGTGACCAAGTTCAACATCAACAGTAATAAGTCAATTTAATGGTGTGGTCCCTGGATATGATGTGATGAAAATGGCACTTCACCTGTGGTCTTCCTAAAACCTATCACTCCAGTCTAATGAGAAAAACATCAGATGTCCCAATTGAAGAAAAGTCTACAAAATACCCCACCAATCCTCACAACTCCAAGTCATCAAAAACAGGGAAGTGAGAAAGCTGTCAGCTAAGAGGAGCCTGAGTGAACATGACAACTAATGTCATGTGGGACCCTGGGACAGAAATAGAACAGTGAAAACCAGGAATCTGAATATGGACTTTGCTTAATAAAAATATCAATACTGGTTCATTAGTTTTAAGAAATGTGCTGTATGAATGGAAGATGTAATAATAGGGGGAAACTGGGTATGGAGAAGGAGCTGCTTTAGCTGTGTGCTGAAGTGTGCAGGAGAGTTAGACAAGAGTGGAGGAAGGCCATCTCCAGGCATAAGAAACAGCTCATGCCAAGACCTGGGGTAGAAATGAAATGTTTGAGGTCAGAAGGCAAATGGGGTTGGAGTGGAGTGGACCAAGGGAGAATGGAAAAAGGGTAGTTGGCCAAGGCCAAAAGACACAGGGTCTTCTGTCTACTGGTATCTGAGGTGACTCAGCATTGCCTTTGTTTCTGGCTATCTGTGAATGAACCTCAGCTCTGGCATTTACTGCCTACGTGATTTTGGGTGGGTTACTTAACCTCTCTGGGTCTCAGTTTCCCCATCTGTAGAACGGGGGCAATTTTAATGTATTTTACTTTTTCAAGTTGCCGATTGGTACTCAATAAAAGCTAGGTATTTTTATCATGTATCCTGAGACAAACAGGAGTCACAGAAGCATAAAAGAATAAAAGGCAACACTTGACTGACCTCATATACATTTTTACTTATGTATTTGGAACGTGGGTAACATTTTACTGACGTTTCGATACTAAACCAGCCCCGGGGTCCGGGTCTACCCCGATAGTTGCCATTGCGGGAGCTAGGGCCTTGAAGTCCCGTACCTTGCACCCGAGAAAGGCAGGAAGAAGGATGCGGGACTTCAGCATCCCGCCTCCCAGCTTCAGGATCACCGTCAGAGGAGAGCGTATGTTTGACCGGCGTTCATTGTAGTCAATCACCTATACGAGGGTGAGCCTTTACGCCAATGGCGAAGCGGCATCCGGATGCGGAAGTCCGAATGCCAGAGGGTCTAGGCTTGGAAGACAGCAGGGGGCGGGGCGTCATGAGCGGTGGGCGCGCTGGCCAATGGGCGGTAGACTCCTCCTTCCAGGGGTGGTTACTGTCGGACGCGGTGACGTCAGCGCAGGCCGGAGCGGCGGAGGGACAGTCGGAGAGCGGGGCTGTGGGTGGTGAGAAGCGGACTCTGTTTGAGGTCTGCGGGTGTGTGTGTGTCGTTGGGAGGGGGGAGGCAGTCTGGAAGAATCTTGGGGGAAGTTTGGGGACTCTTAGCATGACTGAGCAGGAAAAGGGTCTGGGCCTGGCCTGCGAGGGGCGTGGCGGCCTCCGGGACGCAAGAGAAGGGACGTTACGGATGGGACCCTTGGAGGGGTCTATAAAGGGGCCTGTCGGAGTCTGCCTTGGAGGTTGTGCGGAGGTTGGGGGCGAAAGACAATGGAGAAGACAGATTGGCCCTTTACGGAGACCGGTTTGGGGTGAGGGAGACCGGGGTGCAGGACCTTGAAGAGAGGGAAGAGGTTAGTCTTGCCAGGACGATGGAAGTCAGGGGTAGGCAAGAATGGGGTAGGGTAAGGGGCTTGCAAAAGCTTGGAGGCCATTGTCCAGTTCAAGATTGAAGGGAACACACCGCTGAGGAGGGTCTTAAGAGACTGGTTCAAGTCTGGGGGGAATGGGTAAAGGCGAAGAGGGGTTGAAGAAGGGTTGAGGTTGCCAATAGGCAGGGAGTTGGGAGTGTGTTGAGGCTAGAACTAGGAAGCTGGAGAGGGAATGAGGGAGTTTTGGAGTTTGGGGGAGTGAAGTATGTGGGGGGAACTTTCAGGAATTGGGAGGAGGAGTTCTAGGAGAAGCCTAGGAGGGAGAGGCAGAGAAAAGCTGCGGCACTGTGTGAGGTCTTAGAGGTATGGGGCTGGTGGGAGCTATGGGGACGAGGTGGCATAGTAGGGTTAACTGCGACATTTTGGGTTATTTGGTGTATAAATAAGATGAAACACGAAAGTGCCTGGACTGCCGAAGGCAAGTGCCCTTCCCAAGGACCGTGGAACTTCATCTTAGAGTGATGTTGATGTGAAACCTATTTTTGGTGAGCAAGTTGCTCTGTTTACTAGGAATAATTGCTGTTATCTCACTCTTTTTTCCTTATTACCCTGTCTCCTCTAGGGTCACTAGTAGGGGACTCCTGAGGTCCTGTCCCCAGGCTGCAGTGACTTGGGCTTTCACTGGAGCAGAACGTGCTGGAAGGCAGACGGCCACCATGTCCACATTCAGGCAGGAAGATGTAGAAGACCATTATGAGATGGGGGAGGAATTGGGCAGGTGAGTAAGACCCTATGAAAAGGATCCAGGGTGGGAGAAAGCCATTGTAAGGTTTTCTGGAATGGATCTCCCCTCCTATGCTTTCTCGTACTGTCCAAGAAGGAGTGAGTCAGGGTATGTGCTGGTGGAATGAGTTTGGGTTTTGGAATCAGATATCCCAGCTGAGAGTTCTTGCTCTGACATCCTTTGTCCATTTCCTTTGGGGAGAAACATAGTTGAGCACATATGGCCCCTGACGCAGTGCCTGGCATTTGTAGGTATTAGAAGGTTTTGTTGATAAAGGTCTGTCCTTGTCTTTTATACTCTCTTATGGGAGGCACATGAGTCTCCTGAGTCTTGACATTCCCAGGGAAGGCCTCCTGTCTGGGCCCACATTCTTGCCAATTGTGTAGCATTCTTATGGGAGAGAGCGGAGGTTTCCCTTGCCAGCCAGGCAGCTGATTTCCTGCCTGGCTGGGCCTTCGACCCTCCCCTGGGAGCTTGCTCTCCCACCCACCCAAGACCAGGCCAGACAGGCACAGCCTTTTTCTTTTTCTTTCTTTCTTTCTTTTTTTTTTTGTGGAGCCTGAAACCTTATTTGGTGAGTTTGCTGCTGGCTAGGCCCCATGATGTCACCAGAAGGGAATGTAAATAACTGAGCCCTGCATCAGACCTTTGCTGAGAGAGAGTTTCAGGCTCCTTTGGGATTCTGAAGTTGCTCCTTTAGGAATTTCCTGTTTAGAATGGTAGTGAATGCTGGCGCCCCCCTCCCCCGCCCCACGATCTCAAAATTTTTTGTTGAAAATGTATAAGAATCTCTTGCTGAGGATAGTTTGGCAAAAATCAGCAAGATGTCATATGTGTGTTACCTTTAAGTTACTGGTTCCACTGTTAGGAATTAATTAAATGGAAATCCATACATACATGGATCCAATGACCCAGGAGCAGAGATAGTTGCAATAAAGATTTTATAGGAGTGGTCCTGGCCGAGTAGCTCAGTTGGTTAGAGCTTCTTCCCAATAACACCAAGAGCTTCTTCCCACATGCCAAGCAAGGCTGCACATTCTGTCTCCGATCAGGGCATGTACAAGAAGCAGCCAATGATTGCATAAATAAGTGGAACAATGAATCGGTGTTTCTCTTTCTCTCTCTCTCAAAAAATCAATCAATTAAAAAAATAGTTAGCCCTGGCTGGTGTGGCTCAATGGATTGAGTGTCAGCCTACAAACCAAAAGGTTGCTGGTTTGATTCCCAGTCAGGGCACATGCCTGGGTTGCAGGCCAGGTCCCCAGTTGGGGGCGTGTGGGAAGCAACAGATCCATGATTCTCTCACATATAGATGTTTCTTTCCCTTTCTCCCTGCCCTTCTCTCTAAAACATAAATAAAATCTTTCAAAAAAGAAAAAGTCATGAGGAAAAAATAGTTAAAAAAATTTTATAAGAGCAAAAGATGGGATGCCTCTTAAGTGGTCATCACAGCATCCTGCATCCGTGGTGGAACATTATGCAGCCATTAAAAGAGCCAGGCAACTAGGTAACCTGCATAATGTGAGCCACATAGGAAATTTATTGAAATTTAATTGAAAATTTAAAAGCTGTGTCAGTTTTAATAATTTTAATGATATATTTTATTTAGCCTGGTAGATGAACTATTATTATTTTGTTTGTAATCACTATAAAATTATTAGTGAACTATTTTACCACTTTCTTTTATATGAAGTCTTCGAAATCTGGTGTGTGTTGTATGCTCACAGCACATCTCAGCTTGGATGTGCCTGACAGCTGTCATGTGTTCAGTGACTGCTACCTTGGACAGCACCGATCTATGTAATGGTCTGGAACATTCTCAGAGATACTTGAAGTGACGGATTAATGGCACAGAACACTGTTGCAGTTTGTATAAATTGTGGATGTCCTTTGGACATCTGCATTCTAGAGTGTCTTTATGTTACTTCCTTTCATCTACTAAAGGACCTACAAGTCAGGTGCCGTTATTATCCCCATTTTAGATAGAGACTGAGACTGAGAGAAGGGAAGCAGCTTGCCCAAGGACACACAGACTGTGTTTATTGATTTGGAGAGGGAAGAAGCGGGGGAAAGAGAGAATCATCGATTGGTTGCCTCTCACGCACCCTGACCAGGGGTCAGACCCCAGTCCTTCGGCGTGCAGGGCAGTGCCCCACCAGCCGAGCAACACGGGCCAGGGCTGCTACACAGACTGTAAATGGCCAAACAAGATTCGTATCTTGAGACCAAGCCTCGCTGGCTCCAGAGCCCAGGTCTGCTGGAACCAGAGGTGGGCATCTGGCTTCCTCCTGCCCAGCGGCCAGCTCTACCACATACCCTGGTAGTGGAACCCTTAGATGTCCAAATAAAGATGAGACCCTGTGTGTTGGGAAGTGAGTGTGTCCTTATACCCCACACACCACCCTCCTTCAGATGTTTACTTTCTGACTCTGACGCTGGTCACCACGAGAAGCTCTGTTTCAGAGGCAGGAATTGCATTGGAATTCAGTTTCAAGCAGATCTGTATTTTTCCTGAGTCTAGTTATTGACTGTCTTTGGGGAATTAGCTGCAGGAATCACTGCGGTGAGAGGGACTGTAAGTAAAGCAGGCCCATGTTTTTCTGTCCCAGGAATCTTGAGGTTTAAGGAACTAGGAGGGAGTTTCTAGTGTACGAGGGGGTTCTTTCTTCCTAATTCAAGTTCACATCAACCATCTCAGGTAATAAATTAATTTGTGTGTTCATGAGTGTGTAGCCTTCTACCCTGGCTTCCAGGTCATGGAGTGGTGTGTGCATCCATATTAGTTAGCTCACCCCTGAGCTCTGTCTTTGTTGTCTTTGTTGTTAGTTTGGCTTGGAATAAAGCTCAAGGAAAAAAATCCATGCATTTGAAAATCAGGCCACAGGTCCAATGCTTAGCCCAGTATTCCTGGTACGTGGTATACATTTGGCATTTGCTGTCATTGTCATCAGGGAATCATTGTGGGATGGAATGTGGGCCTGGAAGAATTAGCTTGGATGTTGGTAGAGGGGAGGGGCAAAGGCATTTCAGGTGGGAGGCAGGAGCATAGGTACCCAAGGGACTGTAGCGGTGGATTCAAGGGGAGCATAACCTAATGAGGGACACTTTACCTGTGTCCTCTGACCTGTGCCCTTGGCTTTTGGATTAGTATTTGAGTTTCCTGTTGCTGCTATAACAAATTACTACAGTTTAGTGGCTTAGACAGATACGTGTTAATTACCCTAAAGGTTCGGTAATTAGGAGTGGAAATGAATCTGCAGGGCTGCTGCTTCTGGAGGCTCCAGGGAGAATAATTTCCGGCCTTTTACAGCTTCCAGTGGCCCTGCATCCCCGGCTCGTGACCCTTTCCTCCTTCCTCGCAGCCAGCAGAGCAGCCTCTTCCATCCCTGACTCTGACCCACCTGCCTGCTTCTTGTGAGGACCCTGTGATGACCCTGGGCCCCTCTGGTAATCAGGATCATCCCCATTTCAGGGTCCTTAACTTAGGTCCACATGCAAAGTCCCTCTTGCTACATGAGGACACATTCACAGGTTCCATGGATTAGGATATGGACATTTGAAGGGGCTCCCATCTGCCCACCTTGAACCTCATTCATCTTCTGACCATCTGAATGTGTGCAGAGCATGTCTGTGATGGCCCACTGTGGGCACTTCCGTTCCTTGATGCTGGTGAGGGCCGTGGCTTAGGTGCTTGCCAGCTGCAAGTGGTCCCCCCACCATAGATAGGTCTGCCTACTCAGAACACCCAGTCAGTCCTGCCCTGGCACTGCCCTGGCTTTTCTGAAAGCCCCACTGGATTGGCAGAGATGCCCCTCACTCATGTGTTTGTCACTGTCCTGTCTTGTCCTTCCTTTGCCACCACCAACTTCAGAGATCCTTCCTGTCCCCAAGGCCCGTCTCCATCTGTGTGCCCTTCCTGTATTTCCCTGAGATGTCTGTCTTTCCTTGACTCCTGCTAGGGCCTTGTTCAAGTTTGCTGTCTGGAACTTGTGCTTTCTGTCTTCAGCTTGGTCTCTCCATTTAGTTGTACGTCCATGTAACCTGTTGAAGGAGGGCTCAGCAAACTACAGCCTGTGGGCCGCACCTATCACTAGCTCAGTGTAGTGTAGCCCGTCCATGAGCCTGGAATGCTTTTCTACTTTTTTAAAGAGTTGTAAGAACGCACAGGGATTGTGACAGAGACCACATGGCCTATATAGCTTAAAATATTTACTGCCTGGCCTTTATCAGTCAACTTCTGAGTTAAAGCAAGTTGATATAAGTAAGTTCCTAGATAACAAAAGAGTTTGGACATTGGATATCTCTCTGGAGTGCAGTACATAGAATTTCTCTCTTTTAAGTAACAGCTGTCTTTAAGTATAATTCACAGACATGACAGTTTACTCATTTAAAGTATACAGTTTCATGGTCTTCAGTATATTCACTGGGTTCTGCAACAATCACCACTGTTTTCAGAACATTTCGTCTCCCCAGAAGAAACACTGTCCCCAGTAGCAGTCCCCCCCAGCCCCCTCCCGCAGCCCCTGGCAATCACTGACCCCACTTCCTGTCTCTGTGGATGTGCCTGTTCTGGACATTTCACATATATGGGGTCACACACTGTGTGGCCTTTTGTGTCTGGCTTCTCTCACTGAACATCATGATTTCAAGGGTCATCCACATTTGTAACATGTGTCAGAGCTTCACTCCTTTTCATGATCACGTAATGTCCCCTTATATGGAGGGACCACATCCATTCATGTGTTGATGGACGGACATTTGGTTGTTTCCACCTTTTGGCTGTTGGGAATCATGCTCTGTTGAGCATTTGTGTGCAGGTTTCTGTGTGGACGCATGTTTTCATTTCTCTTAGATACATACCCAGGAGTGGCAGTGCTTCCGTCAGATGGTAATTCTGTGTTAACCATTTGAGGAACTACCAGACTTTTCCACAGTGGCTTTCCCATTTTGCATTCCCACCAGCCAGGTGTGAAGGTTCTAATTTTTTTACATCCTCACTCTTCTCTCTTGTTTTGAAAATGTGTGCATTTCTTTCACTCTGTCTATTGAATAAGAAGCTCTTTTTTTTTTTAAACCCTCACCTAAGGACATGCTTATTGATTTTAGAGAGAGAGACACATCAGTGTGAGAGAGAAACAGCGATTGGTTGCCTTTCATATGTGCCTTGACTAGGGATCGAACCCACAACCTAGATATGTACCCTGACTGGGAATTGAACCCACAACCTTTTGGTGTACGGTTTGATGTTCAACTAACTGAGCCACCTGTCCAGGGCAAGAAGCTCTTTTGAAGTCAGTGGCTTTCTTTCTTTTTTCTTAGATTTTTAAAAAAATGATGAAATACACTGTAAAAAGTTGAATCAGTATAGAATTGTATCAAATAATAAGAACCCCTCTTTGCTGCCCCTATTTCCTCAATTCCACTCCTCTAGATGGACATTGTTAACAGTTTGATGTATGTTCTTCAGATCTTTTTCCTACATATATGTATATAAGTGTATCTATATATGGATATAATAATCTTTTTTTAAACAAAAAGATATTCTCTATGTCATTCTGCAGCTTGCTTTTTTCACTGAGCTTAGAGTTGCCTTCATTTTTTTTTCACGATGGTGTAAAATTCTACTGGACTTATTTCCATGATGGATTCCAGTTCCCTCTTGGTAAACATTGAGCAGTTCTTATTTGTTTACTGTTGCAAAAATGCTGGGCAGCCATTATGTCAGCCCTGCTCTGCACTCGCATGGCAGCATTCCCACTGAGTACATCTCGGGTGCAGTGGGAGTGGTACCTCTGCATGGCACCAGGAGCTGGGGGAGTGACGGTGGCGGGCCTAGGTCCGTGTTGGTGCTCTGATCCCCTCCCCTCCCCTCCCCTCCACTTCCTCTCTGCCCCTGCAGTGGCCAGTTTGCGATTGTGCGGAAATGCCGGCAGAAGGGCACTGGGAAGGAATACGCTGCCAAGTTCATCAAGAAGCGCCGCCTGTCATCCAGCCGGCGGGGAGTCAGCCGGGAGGAGATCGAGCGGGAGGTGAACATCCTGCGGGAGATCAGGCACCCCAACATAATCACACTGCACGACATCTTTGAGAACAAGACTGATGTGGTGCTCATCCTGGAGCTCGTCTCAGGAGGGGAGCTCTTTGATTTCCTGGCTGAGAAGGAGTCACTGACAGAGGATGAGGCCACTCAGTTCCTTAAGCAGATCTTGGATGGAGTCCACTACCTGCACTCCAAGCGCATCGCCCACTTTGACCTCAAGGTGAGCCCCACTGGGAGCAGAGCTGGGGATCAGTCAGGGTAGCTGGCGCAGGTGAGGCTGGGGGCCCAAGAGAGGGTTCTGCTTTCATGGGCAAGGAATGCCCAGCCCCTGGACCCACTGATGCTCTGGGAGTTGAGGAACAGACTTGCTCAGGCCCGGATCCCCGAGGTGGCATCAGCCTGCCCACACTCCATGGGTTGGGAGTGGGGGTGTCTAGGGAAATTCCAGATGCTGTTCCTGGAGAGACCAGGCCAGTAGAAGCAGCAGATCCTCCTCCCACTGCCCCACTCTTCCCCGCCCCAGCCAGAAAACATCATGCTCCTGGACAAGAATGTGCCCAATCCGCGGATTAAGCTCATTGACTTTGGCATTGCTCATAAGATTGAAGCTGGGAACGAGTTCAAGAACATCTTTGGCACCCCAGAGTTTGTAGGTAAGGCCCTGTCTGGTGTGTCAGAGACTGGGGTTTGGGCCGGGGGCATTCGGGGGTTTTCAGCAGTGTGGGTGAGGCAGGCCCAGCCCTGCGCTGCCTGACTCACTGCCCTCAGCTGTGCTGGCACTGGGTAAGGGAAAGCGAAGACCTCGGGCCGGTGCTGTCACCATCCCAGCCTTCCTGCCCCAGAGCTGACCTTGCCTGTGTGTTTGTGCGTGTTCACCCCTGAGGAACCACAGTTACCTTCGGCGGGTGGAGGCGAGGCAGGAGCGGTGCTGCTGTTCTTGGCTAAGTCCCCAGTGTGGCCTTAGATGCAACCAGCTTCTGACTCTGCACCTTCTGTCTCCCTGTCTCTGTAGCTCCCGAGATTGTCAACTATGAACCCCTGGGACTGGAGGCGGACATGTGGTGAGTTGGGGGGTAGCCTTGGGGACCTAGGGCTGCCTAGTGCTGAGTCCAGCATTTGTACCTGCTTCTCAGGAAATCCTTCCCCCTGGGCATCCCCAGGAGTGGCAGGCTTGGGCATAGCCCATCCATGGTGCGTGTGCTGTGGGCCGTGGGTGGGACGGACCCGTGCCTTAGAGTAGGGGTCAGCGAATCGCAGTCCACTGGCCAGAGCAGGCCTAGGAGCTGGGAGGGGGCCTTGTTTTTTCAAAAGGGTATTCAAAACAAAACATGAAAATACACAACAAACCATTAGTGGCCCATAAAGCCTGAAATAAGTGCTGTTTGACCCTCTATAAAAAGAGCTTGCCAGCCCTGCAGGCCCTGTAGTGGATCTCCGATCTGCAGGGTCTGTGGGGCCATAGTGCTCTCTGCCCTGCTCCCACTCTGGCTCCTTTGAACCTTGACAGGAGGGTGTGGCCAGAGGTGGTAGGTTTTGTTTTTTTTTTTAAGATTTTATTTATTTTTTAGAGAGAAGGGGATCGGGGAGGAAGAGAGGGAGAGAAACATCAATGTGTGAGAGAAACATTGATTGGTTGCCTCTCACATGCCCCCTAAGCAACCGGGGGTCTGGCCTGCAAACAAGGCATGTGCCCTGACTGGGAATCGAACTAGCACTCTTTCAGTTTGTGAGATGACGCCCAACCCATTGAGCCACACCAGTCAGGGCAAGAGGTGTTTAAATACCCAGTTTTGAGTCCCCAGGGCAGAAGGGGAGCGGGGCTGACATAACCTGCTGCCCTTCTGGCCCGAGAGCCTTGGGTGTGTAGCTTTCCCCATGTGGGCTCTGGGCCCCTGCTTGTAGAGGAGTCTGGGTGCCGCACCCACTGCTGAGCTGATCTTCCTCTTATGTTCTCTCCCAGGAGCATTGGCGTCATCACCTACATCCTGTGAGTACCCAGGCAGTGCTTCCTGTCACCCGTCCCAGGGCCCTGCCTAGTCAGGAAGGGGGTCAGGGAGGCCTTCATGTGGGAACAGTGACCGAGAGTGTGGGACCCCAATCCTTCTGACCTATCAAGATGCTCAGGGAATTCTGGGTGGATGGATGAATGAATGAATGAGGGAATGAGTGAGTTTATATAGTAGAGAAGGTTTGGCTCCTATCTCGGGCTTCTGGATAGTTCGGAAGGCACAGCACCCTCCTAGAGGTCACATGGGACCCTGTGCCAGGACAGAATGTGTACCATCCCCACCCCAGCCCCTCCCTGCTTAGGCCGCGGGCCTGCAGCTGCACCCTCTGTGTGAAAAGAGGATTTGACCTTGAGGTCGTTTCCTCAGATGCCACGTTTGGACTCTTCCTGCATCAGATGTGCTCCCTTCTTTCTTCATTGCCTTGCTTATTGAATGAGTATAGTGATCAGAGACCTGAAGGTTTTGGGAAATTGGTCTTCAATAGTTGCAGCTTTTTTTTTACATTTTGAAGTAAGTTTAGACTTTCAGAAGAGTGGCACAAACAGCATAGAGCTTTGTGCCCCTGTGAACATGTTATACAAACAGCATTTGTCAACACCGAGAAATTAACTTACAACGTTAGCAACCAGAGCGAGTGCCCAAGTTGTGCAGACATCACCAATTTTTCCACCATGCCGTCTTTCTGTACCATGACCCCAGCCAGGTCACTCATTGCATTTAGTCTCCTCCTCTCTTTGTCTTTCCTTGTCTATCACAACCTGGATGCTTTTTTTAATTAAAATTTTTTTTAATTTTAAATTACAGTTGACATACAATGTTATATTAGTTTTATATATACAACCCTGTGATTAGACATTTCTATAACTTGCAAAGTGATCATCCCAATAAATCTAGCATGTATCTGACACCATACCTAGTTATTACAATATAATTGACTGTATTCCCTTTGCTGTACTTTACATCGCCATGACTGTTCTGTAACTGCCAATCTTCTTCTTAATCTCGTCACCTTTTTCACCCATCCTACCATCTGGAAACCGTCAAAATGTTCTCTGTATCTGTGCGTCCATTTCTGTTTTGCGTGTTTGTTTATTTTGTTTTTTAGATTCCACATATAAGTGATATCTTCTGGCATTTGTCCCTCTCTGTCTGGCTTACTTTACTCTGCACAATACTCTCTAGGTCTCTCCGTGTTGGCAGAGGCAAGATTTTATTCTTTTTTATAGCTGAATCCTATTCCATTGTATATATGTACCACTTCCTTATCCATTTATCTATTGATGGACACTTAGGTTGCTTTCATATCTTGGCTACTGTAAATAATGCTGCAATAAACATATGGATGTATATATCTTTTTCATTCATTGTTTTTGGTTTATTCAGAAAAAGACCCAGAAGTGGAATTGCTGGGTCCTTCTTTGTCTTTTGATGTAGCTTTAGTTTTAAAAGTCTGTTTTGTCTGGTGTGAGTATTGCTACCCAACTTTTTGTTTTCATTTTCATGAAATATCTTTTTCCATTCCTTTACTTTCAGTCTGTGTGTGTATTTCCATATGAAGTTAGTCTCTTGTAGACAGCATATGTAAGGGTCAGCCACCGTATGTCTTTTGATTGAAGCATCTAATCAATTTGCATTTAAAATAGTTGTTGATAGATATGTATTTATTACCATTTTATTATTCATTTTTTAAATTAAAACACTTTTTAAATATATTGATTTTAGGGAGAGGAAAAGAGAGAGAGAAACACTTATTTTTTGTTCCACTTATTTATACATTCATAGGTTATATCAGGTGGTTGATTCTTGTTTGTGCCCAGACTGGGGATTGAACCCACAACCTTGGCATATTAGGATGATACTCTAACCAACTGAGCTACCTGCCCAGGGCCAGATCATATTTTTGATCTTTTTTTCTTCTTCTTAAAGAAGACCCTTTAACATTTCCAGTAATATGGTTTGGTGGTGATGAACTCCCTTAGCTTTTTCTTGTCTGGGAAACTTTGATTCTAAGCAATAGTTTTGCTGGGTAGAGTAATCTTGGTTGTAGTTTCTTGCTTTTCATCACTTTGAATATTTCATGCCCATCTTTTCCGGCCTGCAAAGTTTCCGTTGAGAAATCAGCCAACAATCTTATGGGAGCTCCCATGCAGGTAACTAACTGCTTTTCTCTTGCTGCTTTTAATATTTTCTTTTTGTCTTTAACCTTCGACACTTTAATTAGTATGTGTCTTGGTGTGGGCCTCTTTGGGCTCATCTTGTTTAAGATTCTCAGCTCTTCCTGGATTTGTATGTCTATTTCCTTCACCACGCTAGGGAGGTTTTCTGTCATTATTTTTCCAAATAGGTTTTCAGTTTCTTGCTCTCTCTCTTTTCTCCTGTGGCACCCTCATGATGTGAATGTTGGTACACTTGAAGTTAAATGTAGATGTTCTTAAAGAGTGTTGGTCAGGGGTGTTTTAGAACATCCCTCATTATAGGTCTGAGGTTTGCTCATGGTTGGGTGGGCTGTGCCTCTCTGCCCTGGGAAAGAGAAACACCGTTCTTTTTCTATGTTACTCTCCTCTGAATGCTTCTGACATTGCTGGCCACCAGTGTGTGCAGGTTTCTCCCCACACCAAGCAACTGTCTGTGACACCAGCTGAGTGTCCTACCATGAAGATAATGTCAGGTCGCACAGGTTAAGTGCTCAGACTCATGAGACCATCCTGTGTTCAGATGCCAGTTGTGAGTCCAGCTTGTTATCTATACTTCTGATCCACTGATGATAGATTGGAGGTTTCCCACAACCCCCGCCTCAGGTTTGATAATTTGCTAGAACTCAGGGAAACACTGATTTAGGTTCACCAGCTTATCACAAAGGAGAAGATAAAAGGTACGGATGAACAGCAGATGAAGGGTCTGTGGGGCAAGGGCTGGGAAGGAGCTGAGGGCAGGAGGTGTTTTCCTTGTGGGGTTTGGAATGCACGCTCCTCCTCACACGTGGATGTGTTCACCCATCTGGAAGCTCTCCATACTCCTACTTTAGGGATTTTATGGAGGTTCCATCATGTAGGCGTAATTGATTAAATCTTTGGTCATCGGTAATTAACTCAACTCTGGTCCCTCTTCCCTCTCTGGAGATCAGGGGTGAGCGTGACGGTTCCAACCCTCCAGTTCTACTGCTGGTTCCCTGTGCCACCAGCCTCCTATCTTTAGGTGCTTTCCAAAAGCCATCTCATTAGCATAAACTGATGTTGGAAGGTGCTTGTTATGAATTACGAAGGATACTTCTTTTATCTTTATTCTTTGGAGCCATTTCAAGAACTGAGGACAAGAATATTACAACAAAAGATGCTCCCACCTTTTTAGCTCTTTTGTTTTAGGAAATTCCAAAGGTTTTGGGAACCGTGTGCCCAAGGACCAGGTTGAAGACCAAATAAATATTTTCTGCCATAAGTCACAGTATCAAGTGCTCAGAGCCCCACAGGGGTGGTGGGGTGACCCACTCAGTGCAGACTTATCAGAAAGGCATGGGACACGAGTGTCATCGCCAGTGATGCGCACCTTGACTGTGTTCAGTGGCATCAGCCAGGATTCCCCTGGAAAGTGATGGGTTTTTCCTCTGGAATCACTGAATGTTCTGGGGGGGTGGGGAGGTGCTTTGAGATGGTGCATCTACATAGATACTTGGAGCTTTCATGAGGATTTTTGCCCACTGGTTTTAGCTGAGCAGTGACTTCCTATGGCCTTCTCATTGGTAGCCAGTGGGTGGCTGGTCGGGGAATCCCTGCATCAGGTGGTTGGGGCCCAGAGTCCACTTTCCTCAGCATGTGGCCCCTTTGTGTGCACTGCAGAGTTTGATGGTAGTCCAGGCGGCAGCCTGGTGATGGAGCGATTGAAAGGGACACTGAGCCCCATGTTTGTCTTCCAGTTTGAGTGGCGCATCCCCATTCCTGGGTGAGACCAAGCAAGAGACCCTGACCAACATCTCTGCTGTGAACTATGACTTCGACGAGGAGTACTTTAGTAACACCAGCGAGCTAGCCAAGGACTTTATCCGCCGGCTGCTTGTCAAGGACCCCAAGTAAGCACAGCCGGGGCAGCGGGGTCAGGGGGAAGCCCCTCAGGGAAGGCTGAACTAGCCTCCCTAGGATGGGTGGTGTGGCTGAGAAGACATCCCTCCAAGCCACCACCTTCCCATAACTGGCTTCCGCTTTGGGCCAGAGATAGTAATGAATGGCTTAAGCTGTCTCACGCCATATCTCAAACTTTTAATTTGTTGCCAACATTTTTTTAACTAATTTTAGAGAGAGAGAGGAAAGAGGAGAGAGAGTGAGAAAACACTGACTTAACTGCTCCACTCATTTATGCATTCATTGGTTGATTCTCGTATGTTCCCTGACTGAGGATCAAACCTGCAGCCTTGGTGGTTTGAGCAACATTGATGACGCTCTGACCAACTAAGTTACCTGGCTAGGGCCGTTGCCAACTTTAAAAATTGGGATTTTTACATAAAATTCCAGATTGCTACTTTTTTTTTTTTTGAAAAAAATTCTCAGAAGCCCTAGCATCACAGAGCCTCTGTTCACGGGGAGGTGCTCTCTGTGGCCACAGTCCTCCCCTAATCTGTGCTGCCCATTGTTTTTTAAAAAACAATTTTATTTATTTATTTTTAGAGAGAGGGGAAGGGATAGAGGGAAACATCGATGTAAGAGAGAAACATTGATCTGTTGTCTCTTGTAAGCGCCCCGACTGGGGACCAAACCTGCAACACAGGCATGTGCCCTGACTGAGAATGGAACCAGTGCCTTTCTTTCTCTGAGATAACTCTCTAACCAACTGAGCCACACTGGTGTTGCCCGCCTGGCCCCTCCTGTGGGTACCTGAGTTGTTTGACTCCCAGCATTAGGTCTTGACCCTGTTAAAACCTCTCAGGGAACACAGAAACCCCAGAGCCTGTGCCCCCAAAGGTGCCTCGATGGGCTCCTTATTGTTGGCTTAGCAGAGTGGATGCTCTGGAATGTGTGTGTAATTTCAGGGTCATTTCAGGTCTTGCTTCCAGGCTGGAAGGTGACTTTAGAGCCTGGGGTCCCTCAGGGGCGGGTATCGGAGTCCGCCCTTGGCGGGGTGCTGAGAGGAACTGCAGCAGGGAGAGCCTGGAGAGCCCTTTCCCTGCTCTCTGCTCCGTTTTGGGGAGGATGGTGTAGATGGCACACGTGTGACTAACCAGGGCTTGGTCGGGGCGGGGGCTCTTCCAGGAGGAGAATGACCATCTCCCAGAGCCTGGAGCATTCCTGGATCAAGGTGAGGTGGGGTGCTGCTCCCACTGAGGGATGGTAGGTGTGGACAAGCCCCCAGCATCCAGGGAGGGTCCCAGAGCTGTGGGTCTGGGCATGCGGGTGTGGTGCTCCGTGAGATGGTGCTAGAGCCATCTGACTGGGGCACCCGTTGGAGTCCTGGGTCCCTGTGTGCATGCAGCAGGGCTCCCTCCCGCAGAAACTTTTCAGGAGGGGCTGCCTCTAGACCAGAGTTGGCAGCCTTCTTTACCTATTTATTTTTATTTTTTAAAGAGTTTATTTACTTTTAGATAGAGGGGAAAGAAGGGAGAAAGAGAGGGAGAGAAGCATTGGTATGAGAGAGAAATACTGATTGGTTGCCTCTTGTATGCGCCCCAACTGGGCACCAAACCCGCAACCCAGGCATGTGTCCTGACTGGGAATCAAACCAGCGACATTTTGTTCACGGAACATTGCCCAACCCACAGAGCCATACGGGTCAGGGCGGCAGCCTTCTTTAAAGGGCCAGTCAATATTCTTGACTCTGTGGTGCCTGGCGTCAATACTCGGCTCTGCCTTCAAAGCAGCAAAACACCAGGACCATTGTATGCAGATGGGCACATCTGTGCCAATAAAACTTTATTTACAAAAGCAAATGGAGGGCTGGATATGGCCCTCAGTGGTCCACCACCTGCCCGCTGTTCCAGGCTGTGTCCTCTCTCCTGTAGGCGATCCGGCGGCGGAATGTGCGGCGAGAAGATAGCGGCCGGAAGCCGGAGCGGCGGCGCCTGAAGACGGCCCGTCTCAAGGAGTACACCATCAAGTCACACTCAAGCATGCCCCCCAACAATACCTACATCAACTTCGAGCGTTTCTCCAAGGTGCTGGAGGAGGTGGCAGCGGCTGAGGAGGGCCTGCGCGGGCTGGAGCACAGCCGGCGGCAATTCCACGAGGACATTGAGGCGCTGACAGCCATCTATGAGGAGAAGGAGGCCTGGTACAGGGAAGAGAATGAAAGCATTGGCCAGGACCTCCGACGGCTGCGGCAGGAGCTGCACAAGACCGAGGCGCTCCAACGGCAGGCCCAGGAGGAGGCCAAGGGCGCCCTGCTGGGGGCCAGCGGGCTCAAGCGCCGCTTTAGCCGCCTTGAGAATCGCTATGAGGCCCTGGCTAAACAGGTGGCTTCTGAGATGCGCTTTGTGCAGGATCTAGTGCGTGCCCTGGAGCAGGAGAAGCTACAGGGGATGGAATGCGGCCTCCGCTAGGGCCGCGCAGGGTGGGTTGGCCCAGAGGGTTCTGGTGGGAGTGTCCCCTTGACAACCCTGGGGCCAGGCCCCTCTGTCACCCTTACCTGGTCCTAGAGAGTCCGGACCGGGGCTGAGGTGGGAAGAGGCTGGGCTGGGATATGTTTCATGGAACCCAGGGATTCATTGCCGAGGGGAGGGGCTTGGTGGGACCTGGGCCTCCTGTACACAGCCTGTCTTCCCTCTGGCTTAGCCTCCCTGGCTCTCTCATTCTCAAAACAATGGTGACTGGTGGTGGGGGAGGGGGGTGTGCTTCTGGGGTCGTGTTACCTCCGGAACTCTGTGAACTCTGCAAGGGGTTGGTACCTCCAAGATGGAACTGGTCACGCTGGACACAGATTCTTCATGCCTGGCCCTGTGGCACGGTGGCAGCCTTCATGTCCTGGGTCGGGGGCTGAAAGGCAGTCAGAGAACTTGGAGCAGGGCCTGGGCAGCACTTTCAGGCCCTCCCTGCCCATCCAAGCACACACAGCCTCAATGAGGGTTTTTAAGGCCCCTGCATGCCCCAGGGCTTGGAATTGGAGGGGCCTCTGCTGGACACACTGGCCCGCCCTCTTCCAGAGATAGGAGGTAACTCCTCCAGGTCAGTGGTGGAAAGGGCTTCTGAACCCTGCTCTCCCCAGTTCTTTGCTAGGGCACCCCAGGCCCTGACCTGGGCACCATGACCAGAGGCATGGAGGTGACCCAGTCCTCAAGGAGGTGTTCTGGAGGTAGCCGGGGCGGGGGGGGCGGGGGGCGGGTATGGTGGGAGGACCTGTGGCCAAGCATGTCACCAGGACACAGTAAAGGATACATCTGCAAAAGCTGAGTCTCTGTGTCTTCTCTGAGGTCCAGGGAGTCCCTGGGCACTGAATGAAACAGGTCTGCAGGGGGCTGGAGACGGGAGTCAAGAGCTGTCATCTACGTTGCAGCCCTCCCCAGTGGGGCAGGCTGTGGAGCCATCTCCTCTCCCTGCTCCCTCATAATGCCAGGTGCAGGCATCTTATGGCACCTGGTGCCTGAAGTGCGGAGGCCACCAGTAGGGTCCCTTCGCTGCCTTGGTCCCTGGCCCTGCCCCACCAGCCCCTGCCTTGCTTCGTTCTCCAGCGCTGCCTTTTGAATTGTTAGGGCTCCAGGCCAGTGTCCCTTGGTGGGGACCACATGGAGTAGTCACAAAAGGCTCATGGGCCCAGCAGCCTCCCGAGAGAACCCCAAGACTGCACTGCCCTGTGCAGGGAGAAGTCCATTTGACTGACTCTGGGTCTGCTGGTTCCAAGCACATGTAGCTAAAAACCGTGGACCAGTGGGGGTTGAGAAGCGGGTTGCAATGGGCAGTGCTGCTCTATGCCACTAGGTGCTGCCCTTGAGCAAGATCTTGTACCTCCTGAGGGAAGGGCTGTAGGTTGAGGCTTCCACAAAATGTGGGTCCCTATCAGGTGGCCACAGGGAGCCGGAAATTCTCTGCTGCAGGTTGGGTTAAGTGAGTGGCACCTGTGTAGATCCTTCACCCCCGGCGTGGCCAGCTGAATGCAGGAAGGAACCAGGCAGATGGGACTTGTATCCCTGCTGAGGCTGCCGGCCAGGGCTCCCCCTACCACGGCACTGCCAGGGCTGAGGCATGGCCTTTGGCCCTGGCTGTGGGGTCTGGTGAGGGGTCTTAATGCTCTTTGTAGGTGCATCTCTGGGGGGCTGGGGTGGGACCCCCTGCACCTCCTCCTCGAGCTCTGTTGCATTGTGTATGCCGTCTCTGTATGTGCCTGCCGCGAGTGGAAGAAATAAAGCCCCAATTCTGACATCCAGCCGTTGTCTGCCTGGGCCAGGTGGGGCAGCCAGCCTTGGGTCACCTGGTGCCCTGGCCTGTCCAGGCTCTGTGTCTGTCCCTCCATCTGCTGCCTACCCCTGTGCTCCTTGGGAAGATGAGGGCAAATCTGGGGTGTGACATCAGGGGCTGTGCTGATCTTGGGGCTCAGCTGGATGCTGTTCTTTCTGTTACAATGAGAAGGAGGTACCTGTAGTGGACTCAGAGTGGTTTCTGTCCCTTAACACCCCCCTGAGATGCTGCACTGTGAGGTCACATGTGGGCTCCCCTGTTGTGCCCTGGGCCCCAGCACAGAGGCCCCCTAGCTCCGAGGGCACACCGGTGGTGTCCTTGCTGTTCCTGCTGCTGCTCTGCACAGCCGCTGGGTCCGAAATGTGGCACAAAGGAGGGATTTTCTGACCCTTCAATTCTTCCCAGGAGCCGAAGTTTGGAGCCTTTGGCAGCCTTCAGTCAGCCTTCTGTTGACTCATTCATCACACCAAGGGCCACATTTCTCCTTGGTTTTGCTTTTATACTTTATTTTTAAAAAAATCAAAGTAACTCTCACTACAAAATTCATCCTTTTTTATCTCTTGGTCAACAACTTCCACTTTTCTAAAAAAAAGATTTAATTTAGTTATTAGAGGGGAGGGGAGGGAGAGAAGCCCCAATGTGAGAGCAGTTGCCTCTTGTACATACCCTGACTTGGGGGCCTGGCCTACAAGCCAGGCGTGTGTCCTAACTGGGAACCAAACCAATGACCTTTCGGTTCACAGTCTGATGCTCAGTGTGCTGAGCCAACCAGCCAGGGCAATGTCCACTTTTGAAATTCCACCAAGTTTCAGCTCATTGAATTCTCAGACATACTCAGGTTTCTCCAGTCAGTCCATGCCTGTCTTTTGACAGCTGGTTTGTCCAGCCCAGGACCCAACCTGGCCTGCACGCGGTGCCTGGCTGTTAGGTCCCTTAGGGCTTCAAGACTGGGCTCTGAGCAGCAAATCCCCAGACTTCACCAGTCAGCTCATGGTGGGAAAGGAGCACCCAGGTGTGTGCAACTTGTGTAAGATCAATAATAGGCCATAGTCCACTGGTGTCACCTGCCTCCGTGGAAAAGGAGGAACTTCTGTGTTAGGGCCAGAGGGTCTCCAGGCCCCATGGTGGGTAATTACCCGGAGACTGGAGTTCCTTGGGGGACTGGTAGGCAGCGTTTATCCAGCCACAAAAACACTAAGTCCCACTGCATTCTGGGCAGTATGTCAGGCGCCAGGAGACCATGCCTGTCTGGAGGGTGGAGGAGGGGTATTCACCCACCCAGCCTTTCTGATAAAGACCGGGTAGAAACCAAAATTCACTTGCAGCCAGACCTGCTCTTTCAATATGCAGGATCCGCCATGCTGCAGCCCTAAGTCTCAGCGTCTTTCAGGGGGTGACGGGCAGGTGCCTTGCTCTGGAGACGATTGCATCGCTCTTGACCTGGGTTATCTTCAGTGGCTCAGCCCAGTGCAGCCTCAGTTTACTCAATCTGTCAGTTGAGGAGGGCATGGGGAACCACGTTGGGGTCATAAAGCACCTCATCAGAGTGGCCCATACCAAGCACTTAGCAAATGGCACTGCCCATTGCAAAGCCTGCTGGGCGAGTACGCTGTTGTTCATCACGACTGCAGCAGGCAGGCTCTGAGACACCCTCCAAGGATCCCTGCCTCCTGTTGTTCACTCCTTTGAGAGTGGGCTGGCCTAGTGGCAGGTTCTAACTAACAGGATTCAGCAGAGGTGACCGAAGTCCCTTCTGTGGTTAGGCTAACATCAATGGTGGCTTCTGTTTTGCTGGCACACACTTTCCTTTGCCTGACTTAGATGAAACCGGCTGCTATGTTGGAGAGGCCCACATAGCAAGGACCAGCCAGCAAGGAATGGAGCTCACCAACTGCATGAGTGGTCTTAGAAGTGGATGTGTCCCTGGAGGGTGGGGGGAGGCTGTGGTTGCAGGCACCAGGTCCCAAGGCGTGGCAGGGGCAGGGAGGTGCAAGCCAGAGCAGCCTGGGGAGTCCCTAGTCCCAGCCCCCTGAGCGGGGGCTGACAGAGATGTGATAATGGATCATGATGTTACCACCACCAAACCTTGAAGAATCCAGAACCAAAATGTAATTCAGTGCTCGGAACACCAGTGTATCAGTTTAGCTGAGGCAGACACCCACTGGCACCAGGTCCAAGTGTTCCACTAGGAGGTCTTCCCCAGCTACACAGTCGTCAATGTTAAAAAGCCTCCTTGATTCTTGTGTAAATTCTCACCTGATGGACGCTACTTGATCGCTTTCTCTTCAGACCAGCCATCTCAAAATCTATGAGCTCCGGGGCTGTCGAGCAGCGGAGGACCTCCTGAGGGGCCGTGAGGGGAGGACCCTGAGCAACGGCAATGACTAGTGCTCAGTCCGCATGGGCAGCCAGCTCTTTGAACAGTTGTTTTCCTGCTGGCCGTTGCCGACAGAGCGGCCGACGGTGAGCACCTGAAGTGGGAGCGCAGCCTTTTCACTGATGACTGCCAGCGTGTCATGGTGGACTCCCTGCCTACGTCCCAGACGAGCCTCCCCCTCCTGTGATGAGGTGTATTGGAGCAGTGAATCTGTGACAGCCCCCGCTCCCAAGGCCCCTCTCAGGGCTATTTCCTCCACATCGTTGACCTTCACACTGGCTGCTCGTGTGATGCACACACCTTCGAGTGTGATAAAGCCGTCCTGTCACACAACCAAGGGCTGTACTTGTGCAGAAGCCTCCCAGCCACCATGTCAGTGCAGCAGCGGACCGTCCATGCCTTCCAGGTGAAGGCACTTCTGCTGATGCGAGAACCATTGGCTGCTTCTGCTGTGAGGATGGCCTACTCATTGCGTCAGCTGTTTTCTCTGACATACAGCGGGACGGGACAGTCAGACAGGCATGATAAAGGGTCCCTTTATCAACTCCCTGCAACACCGTCTGTTCATGTACTTGTGGTGCCACGCAGAGCAGGGTGGGAGTGCAATGGCTGAGAGGAGCTTCTTCCCATATTCCGACCGGGTGTCACAGCTGTGCATGCGGAAAATGCAGCTTCCGGACGAACACCGTCTGTTTATCAAGCACACTAGCAGGATGTAGCAACCCTGAGGGTCACAGATCCGTCACAGGCACCTTTCTTTTTTTTTCTATTTACTTTTTAAAAAAGATTTTATTTACTTATTGTAGAGAGAGGGAAGGGAATGAGAAAGAGAGGAAGAGAAACATTGACATGAGAGAGAAATATTCGTCAGTTGTCTTTCTTTTACACCCTGACCAGGGACTGGACCTGAAACCCAGGCATGCACCGCAACTGGGAATCCTTTGCTTCGCCAGAGGACCTTTAACCCACTGAACCACACTGGTCAGGGCTGTTTATTTACTTTTCAGTAAGTTTAAATCCTTGAGGGGTGCAACATCACATGGATTCTGTGTCCACTGGCCTTGGCAGGAAGGTTGCTTCGGTTTAGCATGAACCAGCCACTGTTTCCATGAACACGAGCTCCCTTCCCCCAGGTGACTTTGGCTTTGTTGGGTTCACCACCAGGAGCCATTGTGTTCTGTGCTTTGGACACAGAGACACATCTCTTGCCTGGATGGAATTCAGTTCCATCTTGAGTGTAAACACCTTCAATTTTAAGAAGAGCTGTGTGCTCCCTCTGGCTCTGGAGACCCCGTTTACAGCCAGCAAAAGCGCCCTTGGACCACAGCCTTCCAGACATATTTGTCCTCATAGAGGGCCTGTTCCCGGAAGGCCTCAAAGTTCAGCAGCAGCAATTCCACTCACCTCCATCACAGGCACCTTTCTTGGTGGTGTACGGTGTGGTGACAACAGAGGTGATCGCTGTGTTTGAGAAGAGCTTTTGGGGCTCTTCGAGAACTCCTGAGATCC